TATGTTATGTTTGCTTCCTGCTTTAACCCATAATTTTATTTTTTCTATTTATATTGGGTTTGTCGTGACTAGGCTCAAAGGTATTCCCTTCGACCATTGTGAACCAATCATATTAGACTATTTGTGATATTTACTGAATCCTTTATTTTCATTGGTTGTTAATCGACAGGTGCGCGCTGTCATGGATACTAGTAACTGACAAAAATTTACCGGCACGCACACCACTTTTGTTTGATCAATAACTCTTGATACTGAGTGCAATTTTCTAAAAATGATTATATTTTATAATGTCTGGCATGTCTGTAAACCAAGAGAATATTCGTAATTATCCAGAATAATAAAATCTGATACTCCATTTTCTTCTTTTCGTAAGGGATAGAAAGTGAAACCAACAAACTTATAGGAAACATCATTATATATAACCAGTAACATTTGACTATGAAGGTGAAATTGCGAATCATTTATTCTCTGTAATGTACGTTATCTCTAGTAAAGGAAAAAACATTCCGGGATATTGGACCTTACCCACATTGTTAGATCTGATACCCCAATTTCTTCTTTTTGTGCCGAAGAAGCTTAAAATCGGAAAAGTTGAAAAATGCTATTTTTATCTTTTTTCACCACTATACATGTTTTCTTTGTTTTGTTTTTGAAATCAACGTATAGTACAAACTTTCCGTGTAATATTTATGGGATATATATAGAAAATATTTTTTAATTTAAATTTTCATGAAAAATCTGAACTCTTCCCAAGGTTCGACATCAACATCGCTGTTTTTACTTAATAAATATAGACATTTTAATGACGGAATTATCTATAGTAGTAATGTATATATCAATACGGATTGAGATAACGTGTGGTTTTTCATTTAATATTAGAAAATAAGTCAAAAAACTACCAATATATCATTTACTTTGTTTTCATGCCGAACACAGAATATATAAGCGGCTCTCTGATTGGTCGAGAGCACTTGTATACCATGTCATCATTGGTACATTTACTATCCGATTTTGAATTCAAGCTTAATATAGTAAATGCTTACGAACAATTCAATTTCTCATCAAATAGAAATAAAGGGATTATTTATTCAATGTAGCATTATTTTGATAAAGTATGTATTTATTAAATAACACTAGTAGCTACACTACATCAGAATGGCTCTCAGACAGGTCTTGAAACAAAATAAAGGTCCTTAACACGTCCAGGCCACAAAACAACCATAGCACTCTCACGCCCGGCAAACTGTCGCTCCACTTCAAAATTGTGGTGTACGGTAAAACGAGCGAACGGCATTTCCGAGATAGAGCGGAAGGCCGATTTAATTGTAATCTAATTGTAAGTATTGTTTATGTTTTTGTCTTGTTATTTATTTAAGTTGTATTTTTTCGAAAAACGGGAAATGTAGTTCCGTGTAGGATTGATTTAGGCTTCCAATGATCTAAGCTGTTACAAAAATAAAATTATATTAAGCCCGCGAGAACTTTTCTCCCTGACGAAGCGAACGATGATTTGTAGAATATTGAACTTCCCAACCATTGAAATGCCATACCTTTCGGATTTCTTGAAAAAGTTTATTAGTAAATTATCAACCCGTAATAAGAACTTGTCCTTCGTGCAAAATAAATTACTCCTGAAGGATTTCTTAAATTTGGAAACCGATATTTTTCGAAAGTAGTGGAGCGAAAGGGTGAGAGATGGAGCAAAAGGTTTGATGTTGAGCGCAAGGCGATATTAATTTGACGTTTTAGGAGGAGCGTAGTCAGTGATTTTTATAAATAAAAGCTATAGAAGTTAAAAAAGAGCCCATGACAATGTTCAGACCGAGAAAAAATATTTTACCTTTTAAAAACAACTAATAAATTTTTCAAAATTCCTTTAACGACTTAAAAAGCGTAATGCCCTGGATGGGGAAATCGTCCCCTTTGGTTTCCCGGGGTAGATTCCTTTATTTATTTTCGTTTTTTGGAAATTAAGGCCCGACCATTGGAATCATACACATGAAATGCTTTGGCATAAATCCCAAGGAAGGGCCCCCTTATTTCAGGTAAAATCATTTTTTTAAACCTTTTATGTAAATTTAAAAAGGTGGGCCCGTGAAAAATCCCGAAAAAGTCAAAATTATTTTTAGTTCAAACAGTGAAAAAATTTTTTGAGAGGTACATGTAACTCAAAATTTTTAAACGAAATGTTATTTTTTTCGAAAAGGGTTAGATATTCAAGTCCCAGATAAAGAAACCCAAAATTTTTAAATTTCAAAAAATTTAAAATTAAATTGATCACTACTACCAAGTTCAGTTCACAATGACTTTCTGTAATTAATAGCTCTAACGTTCTGAGCAAAAACACAAATAAGCCACGTTTTCATGAATTTGTAAGGTGGGGAATCGCTATGAAAATAGTTGACAAGGTGTCAGTCGTTATTAGGATATAACACGTGCTCCATTTATGTTTCAAGATACTTTCTCCCTTATTTATCATTGTTGTTTAGTTTATTATTTTCCTCTCAAATAGACCTAGTTATAGTAGAATTTTCTATTTACAATCTCAGACGAAAAATCATAAACTATACAACAATGCTAAATAAGGGAGAAAGTATCTTGAAACATAAATGGAGCACGTGTTATATCCTTATAACGACTGACACCTTGTCAACCATTTTCATTGCGGTTCACCACCTTACAAATTCATGAAAACGTGGCTTATTTGTGTTTTTGCTCAGAACGTGTACGTTAGAGCTATTAATTACAGAAAGTCATTGTGAACTGAACTTGGTAGTAGTGATCCATTTAATTTAATGTGTTCCATGCATTGCATAATTTTGTTTCTGTTCTGCACCTTGAATATCTAACTTTTCGAAAAACATAACATTTTGGCGTAAACAATCGAGTTACACGTACCTGCTCGGAAACATTTGTTCGCTGTAGAACTAAAAATATTCGACTTTGTCGCACTTGCACGAACACACGTTTTTAAATGTACATAACCGTGTCAAAAATCATGATTGACCTCGAATAAGTGGCATCCTGTATTATTCCATGCATACATGTGTATGATTCAATGGTCGGGCCTCATCCAAAATTCGAACATAAATATAGGAATCTACACGGAAGCCATAGGTGACACCTTCGCGATTACATTTATTACGCTATAGTCGTTGAAAGGATATCACACTTTATTAGTTCTCTTTAATTTAAAAGGTATATATATCTCGGTCTTAACACTTGATCACGTCTATTTTAACTTCTTTAGCTTTTATATGTAAAAAATCATAGACTACGCTCCTCCTAATACGTCAAATTAATATCGCCTTGCGCTCAACATCGAACCTTTTGCTCCATCTCTCACCCTTTCGCTCCACTACTTTCGAAAAATTTCGGTTTACAAATTTAAGAAATCCTTCAGGAGTAATTTATTTTGCACGAAGGACAAGTTCTTATTACGGGTTGATAATTTATTAATAAACTTTTTCAAGAAATCCGAAAGGTATGGCATTTCTATGGTTGGGAAGTTCAATATTCTACAAATCATCGTTCGCTTCGTCAGGGAGAAAAAGTTCTCGCGGGCTTAATATAATTTTATTTTTGTAACAGCTTAAATCATTGGAAGCCTAAATCAATCCTACACGGAACTACATTTCCCGTTTTTTCGAAAAAATACAACTTAAATGAATAACAAGACAAAAACATAAACAATACTTACAATTAGGCGTTTAAATCGGCCATCCGCTCTATCTCGGAAATGCCGTTCGCTCGTTTTACCGTACACCACAATTTTGAAGTGGAGAGACAGTTTGCCGGGCGTTGACTCTATGCCCTGATTATGAGCTGACAGTTATTTTGAAGTAGGGTTTGACTCAGATTCGGGACTTTGTTAATCAACTTTAAATTAATATAACTTATATAACTTGAATATGAGTCAAACCATGTAGGTTCTATTTCTCTGAAAACAAAGTAATAATACTCTATTTAAATAAAAAAGTCAATCAATTTAAGTATCATTTGTAATGATTTCTCTTTTTGTACATATATTACTTTTTGTGAGATGATGCTAGCAAATAACCTGAGATTGGACATTATGAAGCCCAATTAGATGTGCCTTGTTTTATATTTACCTGTCCAATATGAGCCAACACAATGTTGGACAAATTAAGGCCAATAAGGATAAATACTAGTTCCCTCAAAACAACCCCATATGAGCCATACAATATGGACACAATCAGACCCCGTAATGAAACATACAGTTATATGAGCTAATCTCAGGTTATAAGTGAAGAATGATATAGAAGGGAACAGGTCCAAACAAAATAAAGCAGCCCATCAATTAAACGGCACACATGTTAGTTTGTTCTGTTCTATATCATTTGCTGAGTCTCACGTTCTTTGTTTAAATGTATTTTTTTGTAAACTTTTATATATTTTTATTTTGGAAATAAAGGCAAATCGCCAATAAAAATTTGCTCTAAGAGTGGGCCGTTGACGAATAAAAGATCGAGTACACAAATTTTATATAACATTTATTAAATATCAAAATTGGACTGAACGAAGGCTACCTTATCATTTAGGCATTTTATCAAAATTCAAAATTGACCGTGGCAACCAATGTCTGTGGCACCGTAAAGCTGCTAGTGCTTTGTGACGGCCTTAGCAACGACACTTCACTGACTGAAAATAAATTTCTTAATAAATTTAATTAAAACAATAAAATGCGTCTGTGGCTTTCCATACTTTAACAAAACAAAATTCAAAATTGGACCGATATAGGCAGAATTTATCTTTCGGAAATCATTTCATATTTTATAAATTACTAAATTGTCTGTGGCTTACCGGCAGTCGGATCGATATGCGAGTGATGGTAACATATCAGGCGGTTATCTCAATATATCTGAGACATCTGGAAGAACTACATGACGGGATGAAGAAGACCACTCTGAGGGGATGAGAAGTCCATGACCAAGCCCCAAAAATGTCGCACTCTCAAAGTAGGCATTAAGGGGTGAGGTCAAAGAAGACATCTTCGAAGACCGAAGACGTGGAAGAGTTCTTCTAGACCCACCAGATGAGGGAAGCAGGCCATGGTCCATGGCGGAGCTGAAAACTGGAAGGAGTGAACTTGTCCGTTTTGCTTGTCTGAGGCACCGAACCAAAAAACACCGGTCCGAAAGCACCATTGCTTGTCCGTACGTCTATATGTCAGGGAAACCTTACCCGCCCGCTTCTTGATCCTTTATTTTAGGCAGCAACACATTCTTTAACTAAACAACATAATGCACACAATGGTCTCATTGGCCTCCCGTGTATTATTTCATTAATAACTCTAAAAACAATTGCATTTTATTTGGGCTCATTCAGTGAATTACTGAATTCCAATCAAATAGGTCACCATTTTAGAATTATAACATACTTTCAGGGCATGACTGGTGACATGTCCGGGGTCGACAGCGAAAGCTGCTTTTTGTGCCCGAAAGGGCGGATGGACCCTCATTAAGCATTAACAACATACAACATACATTGGAGGAAAAGCGAACTGTTTGTTTTCAGAGCAATAATGTTAAAACTTGAACATTCTGAAGTGTCGTTTCGATTTCTTTCAACTATATAATGTTTTTTGAGGAGGGATTTCGAAATATTAGTAAAACGGTAGTTTTTTCTGTTATCTTCTGGATGCCTGCTGCTTTAAAGATAACACATAAAATCAACGTTTCAGCTGTTTTAGCATTATAAAAATGGTAAATTACAGATGCAGTCACTTTGAGTACAATATGAACTTGATCTGGACATTTGGATTCGGAAAATGAAAACGAGGCTAGACGGTGTACAAACTGGATTTAATATGGGTTTGATTTGGACTTGAAAAATACAAACGAGGCTAGATGGAGTACAATGAGCATTTGATACAGACTATTCAGGAATAATGAAAAGATGATTTTAGAAAATCATGCGGTGTAAACCTGGAGGTTCAATGGTTATATTTAATCAGGCGCTACGTACAAAATAATCTACAAAATAATCGTGATAGTTATAGCACATGAAAAAGAAATGATGTCATGAGATAAATTGTTTTATCACTTACTTTGTTTAGAATCAATATATTGTTCTTCTTTCTCGGCTTTAGTTGCTGTTTTCAGTTCATTTTGTAACGTCTCTCCTAATTCTGCCAGATCTTTTCGTTCTTTATCTCCTTCTTTTTGAATCATATCAACTTCTTTGTCCCCTTCGTCATTTACTCTTTTCAAAGCAGCATCAGTTTGAGACTCAAGAGATAGAAGATCTTCTTGTTTTCTTCTAATCATTTCTTGTTTAATTTTGTCATATTGATCATCTAACCCAGACTTCATCTTGTCTTGAAGTGCTGTTGCCACATCATCTAGTACTTTCCTGACATCATCTTTACCAATGACAAGAGTGTCATTTTCCAACTATAATAATTATAGTTATTATAATTATAATTATTATAAAGACCATTAATTATACAATATCAATAAATATACTAATACATCAGATTTTTTTAATATATGTTAATCATAAAGTGTACTTTTCAAAAATATATTGCATCTTCAGTATTTATTTGTAAAAACTACGTGTGCAATATTGTCACTAATGAAATGTAAATTGTATGCTGATCAAAGTTATGATAATTTTAAATGTACAAAACAAAATATTGCCATTTTTCAGTAAACAAAACAAGTGTTTGTTCCTATGTCGCGTAATATTAGTCACAAGAGCGTAACCAAGGTTTGTTTACAAACAAAACGTTTTGAAAATTACTAAAAAGCTTCAGCATAGAGCAATTATCGCCGTGTATTTAATTGAATTTCCTTATTTTTGTATCTGTCGGAGGGCGTTTTGAACGTTATAAAATTTCGTTTATGAAAAAAGATTTGCTTGTATATTTTCCTATGAGCCGTTGCGAAATTGTAAACATTTAACAACAGCAGACTGTTTTGTTCCCCCGGAACATTTTATTATGTTTACGCACAATATTCATATTCAGCAAACAACAGGCAATCTATGTAACGCTTTTGAGAATCGACCATTACTGAAGGGGAAACAGTATTTTTCCATCAAGGAAACAACTTGATTTGTTCAAAAATTTAATGAAGATTATCTAATAAGATTTGTATACTTTTACGAAATGCACTGTGTTCTAGTCATACAACAAAATATGTAACGTGTTAAGTAATAAATTAGTTTAATCACCTGTATAAGTTTCTGTTTTGCATTCTGCGCATGCGTGTCAGTAGCTAAATACACGGGGTCAGAAAGTAGATGCTGTAATATTTTGAAATATTTCTGAAGATCTGGATCTTCCACTTCAAGTTTTGATGAATGGCGAACATGTCTTCCAATTTCTCTTGCCTGGTCAAAGTAGAATAACAATTCTTATTTGATTTTATCTAAAACATCTATATGATATAAAGCTTTATCAAATAAATAATCCTAAAATGTATTAACAATAATATAACATTATATCCTTAATAAAAATGTTGATTTTTTAACAGAGATGAATATTTCATGTCTTTGTTATTTAACACACATTAATATTGTTCGTAAAAAGAAATAATAAATGTCCCGGAAAAAAATATAATGCGGATATCAAAAATACATATTTAAAGCCGCATGCCTCCAGATTCTTGCTATTTGACATTATTATTTTGAAAAATACGTTAGTCACGCAAAAGAAATGTGATAACAAATACTGCAAAATCAGTTTATTTATCCCACATAACATGTTGATAGTCTTGAAAAATATTTGTGGCTCATCTTGAAGCATGTAGCTTCAACTATGTAGCAATGTTTTCGTACACGCACCATTCACTTTTAAGGAAAATGCATATTTCTGTCATACAGGCATATAATTAACTTTCGTTTTGCAGCAAAAATTTAGCTTTATACTCAGTAAGTTAATAATGACATACTGTAAACTAGCATACTTTTAAATAGTAGTTAAATTCGTTCCTTACTAGTATAATTCCAAACAGCATGATAAAATGTCAATTTATTATTATAGATATCAAACCGTATTGTTAAATTCATTAGATCATTAAAATATATTAATCTTTTGTTTTATTACTTAGCACTTAACATAAGTTTTTATATTATTAAATAGTATCGAAATATTGTTTACCTCTTCAAATATGTTTATCTTATTATTGAGGTTTTCCTGTACTTTTCCCTGGAAGTCTTTGTGATTAAGGATAACGCTGATTATCCCATTGAAGTCTGTTTCTGTTGCAGATGCCTTGTCTTTATACCCATCTGGGGGCATGAAGCATTTCGCAACTTCCCAGGAATTACTGCACCACTTGGTAGCATCTGTGTTTTTGTACGACGGACCGTTGTATCTATGTGCATTCTGTATTTCAGTTTTGAAATTATGACATATCTTGTTAGGACAGCCAGAAGAATTGTACTGTGTTGTGACATTTCGATGATAACTGCACGATTTCCCACGCCCAACATTACATAATCTAGCTGTAGGACACTTTACAAGATTTTCCGTATAACAACCTGAACAACAAGTCCCACTTGGTAAGCCATTTAGGTAACATATATCATGTAAACATTTTAATTGAAAGTGTTGGATTTCATTACAAACAAAAGGTTCAACTCCTTCTTTAGTAAACAACACAGCTAACTGAGCTTTAACCCAGTTATTGTATTTCTTTTCTAACAGTTTAGGGCTATATGAAGCCATTGCTTGCAAAGTTTGTCTTTCCCACTTAAAGCATTTCGTACATAGGCGTGTTCTGTTAGCTCCGAGCCAAACCTGAAAAAATATGTAAAATGCTAAAGAATATCATAATATTTCAAGACAAACGTTTTAGTATCATATAAAGTTTTTACACAATCTTCTTTAGATATGTCAAAAATAACTAGAATTGCCACTGTCATGGCGTGAATACCCCGCATACCACTTTGTCAGAATCAACAGTGGCCATTTAGAGCTCAAGGACAACCTCACTGCCAAATGTGAGGTTACTAAGCCAGTGTATTGCTAAAATATGTTTTCTAGATGCTTCAAATGTGAAAATGTCAAAATCAATACACTGCGGACAGGCACTCTTAAGCATTTGAGCAGACAAGCTTATTACAGTAAATCCCTGTGACATTGACCATTGACACAGTCACCTAAAATCAAAAGGGGCCACCTACTAGTCATAAACAACCTCAATACCAAATATGCCTTCAAGACTGTTGACCAAAGCATTCTTAAGCAATTGAGCGGACAGGCTTTTTTTAAGTCATTGACCTTTAATCCAGTGACTTCAAAATAAGTAGGGGTCACCTTATGGTCATGAACAACCTCCATGCCAAATATGAAGATCCACGTAGCGCTAAGTAACGTAAAAAATATTTCCAGATTTTTCTATGTACCGATTTGTTCATTTCGATGTTAATTTTTCGTTTAAGTTAAGTCGTATTTTGAAGCGGGGCATGCGCATTTACAATTTTTGTAGACTGCTCCTAATGATTTTACGGTTTAAATGAGATTCATTTACTACAATCAGATACGCAAAAATGGATGCCGCCAGGAATCAGTCTAAACACTGTGGAGAGGTCTGATGACCTCTCTAATAAAGTGTTACATTTTAAGCGCTTATTAGAATGGGGTTACTATTTTGATGATTTTGTTTAATAAGTACTGTCTTATCTAACCTTTAGATATATGATTTAAAAAGTTATCAGACACTGTGTAATTTTATTTTATTTTACCACCGCCGAGTAATCAAACCACGCCTCAATATGCAGCTGATGAAACGCTTGTTTGTTTTTTTTCACACAAAGTTTTAATACTTCTTATCTTTCAATAAGTAAGCAAAGTTGTTTCTTTATCAAACACAACAATAAAACACGTTTAATCTCTTCTCTATAGTCATATCTGTTCTCCGATTTTCTCTTATATTGAGCATGAACAAAGGATAATATAATGCGTCAAAACTATTCAACGTTTACAGGTTTAGATTTAGTTTTGTTAAATTGACATTTATTCATATCTTGTTGTAAATGTTTTTTGTGTCCGCGTTTGATGTTTGATGAGATAAGTTTAAAAAACGTCTTTATCGTAATTTAATATTACAACCTTAAAGCTAACGCTCTAGTGAGATTTGCACAGATAATACTAGTATTGTCTGGTAAATGACATAAACACATTAAACCTATCTAATTGCGTAAATTATAACACATTTAATGGTAGTTCATTCAAAACCAGTAAGCGTAGGTTTGTACTAATTATGTTAAACAGGGCTGGGAATCAAAACTGCGTCGTATCCTACAAAATGTAAACAAACGCCGCCATCTTGGAACGAAAAACGTATGTTTTTGTTTATAACTCTTTTTGTTGGAAATGACTGAAAACAAGATATATGTATTAACACGCTACATTATTTTCCGCTTCGTTCGGTATATGTTGCTTGCACAACTATTTTGTAAAACAAAAGTTATAGCGAACTTGCAACTCGAAGCGAGGCAGAATTTTTATGAAAATGTGTGGATACGACGCAGTTCATATTGCTTTATCTATCATTTTTCCTTCAAATCAATTATTTATTTGTTTCAGAGTTCACCATAAACTTCGAAATATAATTTTGCATCATTTACTAAAATTTTATTAAAAAGAGATGTTTATTTTCTAAAAAATAATGATTTTTACGAAATGATACGACGCAGTTGAAAATAAAATATGATACGACGCAGTTGTATTTTCATTGCAGTCTTTTCAACAGGGATAATTTTGGCAATATATTTCTATTTTATGGAATAATCACTTGCGCTAGATAAAAACCCAGATCATTTGCGGTGTAAAGCAATGTTCCGTTGATTATTTAGAATACAATGTGTCATGTCCAATATAACATATAATTTGAAAGTTTACATTGCGTAAGCTACTTTTCTGTTAAACATGAACATGTTACCTTATTGATCATAATATCTGAAATAATTTTTTATATTTTCCTGTATGTTCAATATTATCCTTAATTTTTTTCGCAAAAAAAAAAAGTAGAAATCTATTAACTTAAATTCATTTTGGCTAGCTACGCTCTAAGTTAACTGTGGTTCTGCATGTTCTGGGTAATGGACTGCTTTTTTGTGGTTTCTTTTCAAACTTTCACTCTACACATTAGCTTTACTAGGGGCGAGGATCTCAGGTGCGCCTTTGTGCATAATTTCAGGCAAAATGTTGTACCTGCAGAGAACCGTCGACATTTTGAAACTAGCTTGATAGGTTTTCCACACAAAAGAATAAAAAAGTCCCTGGTGGTTTTCGAATTCATAGCAGTTCAGTTCAAGTGATTTGAATTCAGTAAACATAAACAGCTCGGCCTCGGTCGGACACACCTGTCTGATTTGTTTTTTTTCAACAAAATTTGTTAACGTCAGCTGTACAAATAAGCAGCTTTTTTATTAACTTCTGACGTGAAGTTTTAAGATTATAAATATTTGAAATAATTATAAAGAGAATAAAATTTAAATTTCTTATTTTTGGTATTAATAGCAGAGAAATTTTCAATGTAAACAGGGGGTAATCCTCTGTGAAGTCATTTTCTGAAAACTTTTGTTACAGTTTTCAGGCAATTCATTATCAAATAAAATCACACTTTCGTATGAAGGTATGTTAAGATGTCATGTCTCTAGTCTGTTGAAAATTCGATACGATAATCTGACATTTTCTGTTCAATATTGTGAAAACTTAATAATTCTTCAATACTGTTGAAAGATCATGTCTGCCTATATCTGTATCAAATTTATCGGTGCATAGCGTAAAATACCTTTGCAAAACGGACACCTTTTTTACAAAATAATTTGTAGTTGTATCAATTTTAACTCGATTTTGAAAAGTTTTTTGATGGAGAAGAATGATACTTAGGTGCAAATATATAAAAATACATTCCGTAGACATTTTCCTCATCGGCGATAAAGAAACGCAGGGGTAAAGTTCCGCGGCGCTGAACATAAAATGACTAAACGGAACGCATAACCTACTTGCAAAAATATATTGTAGCTTAACCATTTATAATATTATTTTTAAAAATTTAATGTTAGGTTTCAAATAATAAAGCTCATCTGTCCTCGTCGATTATTAAGAAAATGAAATACAATAAAATTGGCACATAAAAGACAAAAGTAATAACGGAATTGACGGAAATAATTGCTCATTACAAGTAACAACGGTAGGCATGCAATTAGTGCATTCCCGATAGCGAGAGACCTTTTCAAAATTTGTAATGTTTTCTCTTTTTTTTAAGAAAAAAGTCATTCCTGATTAATACAGGGTCCAGTGGAGGTTACACTGGAATATTGAATTTTGTATCAAAAATAGTAATCACTCCCATTTCGAACTCACGTGAACAAGTTAATAAGCATGCTAAGGCAATAATATGGGTGTGCGATCACGTGTTTCAATGTATATTGCATTTGATACAGCTTTTCGGAATTTGTAGATGCTTATGATTAGTACTAAAATGCGACCGAAAAATGCAGCCTATAGAATTGTATTACATTTCCATTTTTATGAAACCAATGAGTGACCTCTGCTTTTGACTTAAGTTGTAAACAAAAAATGTTGTAGGACGTTATTGGCATACCTAGCACATAATTTAAATAGTTTAACCAATATTCAGCCTGCAATGAAAATACAACTGCGTCGTATCATATTTTATTTTCAACTGCGTCGTATCATTTCGTAAAAATCATTATTTTCTTGGAAAATAAACATCTCTTTTAAATGAAAGTTTAGTAAATGATGCAAAATTATGTTTTGACGTTTATGGTGAACTCTGAAAACGAGTATATAATTGATTTGAAGGAAAAATGATAGATAAAGCAATATGAACTGCGTCGTATCCACACATTTTCATAAAAATTCTGCCCCGCTTCGAGTTGCAAGTTCGCTATAACTTTTGTTTTACAAAATAGTTGTGCAAGCAACATATACCGAACGAAGCGGAAAATAGTGTAGCGTGTTAATACATATATCTTGTTTTCAGTCATTTCCAACAAAAAGAGTTATAAACAAAAACATACGTTTTTCGTTCCAAGATGGCGGCGTTTGTTTACATTTTGTAGGATACGACGCAGTTTTGATTCCCAGCCCTGGTTAAAGACTGCTTCATCTTTTAAAACTTTAAGTTTAAAATTAATTTATATTATACATTACAGAAACGAGTTTTAAACAATTGTGTTACTTTATTTATAAATTATAAAAACAAGAGGGTCATGATGGCCCTGAGGTCGCTCACCTGTATAAAGGCACCCGGAGCAGGGCCAGTTTAAACCCAAGTGCTTTTATTTGAACAAACTTGGAAGACACCCATTAGAAGATGTTTCACGATGTTAAGTTTTTACTACACACATATAATGAAAAACAACGATCTACCCCCAATCCTCCCGCCCTCCCCACCCCTCCGGCAGGGCCAATTTTAACCCAAGGGCTTTTATTTGAACAAACTTGGTAGACACCCATAAGAAGATGTTTCATGCTAAACATCTAAGCTCTAGCTCATTGGTTTTTTTTAAAAGAAGATTTTTTAAGTTTTTACTATACACATATAGTTAAAACCAATGACTCCCCTGGGGCGGGGCCCAAGGGCTTTTATTTGAACAGACTTTGTAAACAATTACTAGAAGATGTTTCATGCTCAATATCTAAACTCTAGCTATTTGGGTTTTTTCAACGAAGATTTTTTAAGTTTTTGCTATATACATATGAGGAAATCAATGACCCCCGGAACGGGGCCAATTTTGACCCCAGGGCTTTTATTTGAACAA